TATAAATAATAAATCAGTTTCATTGTGCATACTGAATACAAATTACCATAATTTTTACATCTTTCCTTTAAAACTTCTCATTGAGAAATAAACGGGAATTAACTTCATTATGTACACGTAGGTCACTCTGAAAGCAATGAATCTTATTTATTTCCATGGAAACTAAAACAAATACAGAAAACACAATAACACTATTTGAGAGAGCAAATTCTCAGCTACAAAACACTATTTTTCAAGACAGTCACCACCATCAGCTCTGCATTTTTGCCAGTGATAAGCAAGAATCTGCACGCCACGCTCATGAAAGCATGCACCAGTACAGATGAGTCAATGCCACTGTTGCCACTGCTGAAATGCACCACTCATCACCACACTGTACTCACAGTAACTGTTTGGTCTCCATAAATTTTCAGCAAGCATCAATGAATGGCAATGGGTGCAATTTCTTTTCCATGTGGAGGAGTACAATAACACATTTTTGTTTCCACATTTCCACGTTAGATTCCATTGTGTCAGACTGCCCCTCTGCTGCCATCTGTCACATGACAACAACATGTAGTGGGATATTAGTGGGAAGGTTCAACTTCTACTGCCATACCACCAACATCTGCCTTTGACATTACTTTCAGGGCAGCCCTCAAATGTATGTTCGTTTTGTTACCCTTTGAAAGCCATGCCTTATTGTATTTGGCCATTTAAAATGATAAGTAGCAACAGAAGACTGGTAGTTATGTGTTTGTTTGTCTTTATGAATACTAAATTTCCTTTTCTCATTGTGAGAACTGTTAGAACCGATTACTGATAACCAATGAGACAAATTTCCTTTTGTATAAAAATTGTCTAAGACTAGTTTACCTCACAAAACAATCAGACCTATGTATCTGGTGAAGGCTGTAAGAAACAGAATCTACAATTTTCATGTACGGGAGGAAAAACAAACAAGCAAACAAATAAAACACCAAACACCAACATTTTCTTTCACAGAATAATATAGCTGATTATCAAATATTTCTACCTGTTCTAAGTCTGAATACACTTGACAAAGAGATGTTACATGCAGGAGAAAAATATCTGCTTTATGAATATCACAGAATAGCTGCCAAGTATGTGCAGGTTTACAGTAGCTGCATTTCTGGTCTGGGTTCACTAGCCATATCTTTGGACTTGTTAACACATGAAGCACTCTTTCTTCTGCAGAGTTTTATGTAGTTGAAAGGAGTAGATTCACTGGTCCTCATACAAAACACAAGCGCAGCAAAATTTTGCTGTTTTTCCCATTTCTATAGGTGATTACTGCCAAATTATTCTATTCAAAGCTGACTCAAGTAGTAGTCAAAACAGAAAAGATAAAAGTAGCAACCTGCAGTTAAAGTATAGTTAAGAGACAAAGAAAAGTTTAAAGTATTTTTTAAGGGAGTTTGTTGATAGGCAGGTAGTAAAAGAATTAAGTTTTTATTACTACATCTAAAGAAAAATCAGGGAAGACAATACAATGCGTCTTCTTAGTCCTTGCCATTGTTAAATGTTGAAGACTAAAGCAGAAAAAGCTTTTCACATGGAAATTCATAAGTCATTACCAATGGTTGGGTTTTTTTTTGTTTTTTTGTTTGTTTTTATTCTCTTCAGCTTAACTAACACACTCAGTGCAGAACTATCAGCAAAAATTGGAGGCTTGTGCTAAGTTGTTGCACTACAGGATAAACAGAGTGGATCAAACAAACTATTGATCAGTCAAAAAATAGTTAAGACTAGTATGATAAATCTGTTATGGGTGCACTGATCAAATTTTCTCTGAAAAATGATGGCAACATGCAAAGAAGGGAAAAGTTAGGATGGAAGCCATTTCACTTTAAATATTTAAACTGCAAATGTTCATATCTGTACAAACACTCTGAGCCGTCTTTGCAGTCAGTGGAAACAAATGGGCAGTTCCAGAACACAAATAACCTCTTATACTCAACTCAGTCATTTAGACCTTTCCAGTGAAAGTAACTATGTCCTTGAGGTACTTGTTTCTACCACTCACAATAAGGATATCCTATAATATTAGCTCAGATGTAGCTGTTACATTACAAAAGTTCTCTTATTAATCTCCAGTAAAATAACTGACATCCAAAACATGCCTGGTAAGTGTGTCCCTCTGCAATTGAATCCTTTAATGTGTAGTTTGGGATCCTGCTTACCATTTGTGTGACCTTCCTACAAGCCATTTGGAGGGGACTGCATTATCTCACTGTATCTGTCACTGCAACTGATACATGTTTCATAGATAAAGGATTGCAACAGTGGCTTGCAATCACAGATGACAGGTCATGTTATGCATTCTTTTGCCTTTGGGCAAGATCAAGTATATTTTCTATGAGGTATATCAAATACATTTTTACGTGAAACTTGTTAAATGGTTTTGTGAATTATTATTGAAAAAAAATATCCATATTAGATAACCAACGTCTATGCTGTTCAGCTGCCTCAGGGCGGTGAATAGGTAGGCCCTTGAGGATAAAAATCCTGACAAAGCTGTATTCAAAACCCTTGGCCACGTTAACTACAGTAATTGTAAAATGTTCCTACATTCCATTTTATGGCCATGCCAATTTTATAGAAAGCCTATATCTATTGTTCCAGTGATTTGTATGGAACAGAAATATCTGTAGATCTGTCTAGCTAATGTGCAGGCTAATGGGAGCTACAGGGTAATAGCCTGACCTTAACTCACTGATTTCTTTCAAAGATTCAGCTCTCTGTGCATCCTATTAATCTACTAATGAGTCGAACTAGTTCTGAAGTACACAGGCACCACTTCCAGACTTGTTAGAATTTGTTTGTCTCTCCCTGGTTTTCATCAATGTCAAAGTACTATCCACAGAATCAAGCTATTCTATTTTAAGAAGTACTCTGAGAAAGGATGCCCTTATCAGGAAAGGCTTTTTGAATTTGATAGGAGAAAAAAAAAAAAGCATAGTATATAATACACAATTTAAATCTGAATGAGAAGTAGTTTTATTTACATTAATACACGTTAAAAAAAAAAGTGTGTCTGTTTCATATCTGATACAAGAGTTCCATAGCATATTTTCATAATGGAAAATTGAAAAGGCTTACAAGCGTCCTGAATATCCATGGCTAATATAAACTACAGAGTATGTCCTATAGAGAACTCTGTGCACAAAAACCTATACACTTCAAGAAGAGGTCTTTTTCTACTGCACTACTTAGTTTGAGCTATTTAATTGCCTATTTTTCAGATGGCTTTTGTGTTAGGTTCTGCAACTACTTTCATTGATATGCCTTATAAATAAGATAAGCAGTGTAGCCTTTTCAAGCCTTCAGGAGTTGGGTATAGCTTGTAGATCATATCTTCAAATGCAGTGAGAGAAACTGGGGCTTTGTGTGCTGTTTTGTTCGAAGAACAATTGAAGTACACAAAATACAGTGTGCTATTGTGAAGAATGGGCTAATTTTGAAATTAAAAATGATATCTCTAGGCTCAAAGATCTTAATTTCTACCCTAAAAAAGAATAGCTTGGATCATCTTTGCATAACTGAGATGTGTGTGTGAAACCATGCCCTTTTTTAATGACTCAGTACATAAAATATTGATGATTGAAGATTATTTATTATATACCTAGCATAAAATATTTTCAGATCTAAATATGTCCCAAAAGGTAATATTTTTTAATACTTTGGTTATTTTAAAAGTTGTACAAGAGCATCCAAGGACTTTGCTTCCAACTAGCTGCTGTAATTCTGCTCAGAGTATAAAAGGTTCCTACAAGGCTTGTTTGTTCTATATTAGAGCAGCTAGTGTCAGAGATTTAAGTCCTCCTTTTGGCTTCATCTTCATCTGTTCAGGAACACTGGCTGGCTGCCACTGCTCTGCAGCTGTCTAGGCTATGTCTCCATAGCTGTCCTGGGTCAGTAGCTACCCTATGTAACCTTAGTCCTACGATAAATTGGATTGTGTCCTTTGCAATTGCTTTCCATTTTTATTTGATGGTTGGATTCAAACCTGTTCTATGGTGTATTAGCTGCTGATCCTTCAGATCAGTCTGACATTCTGAAGAAAATGAGTTGGAGGTGCTATACAAAGTAAAAATCTTTAGACTAAGAGAAAAATAATTTCCCTTCCCTGATATATACAATCACTAACAAGGAAAATAAAATCTCTGTTTACAAGAAAGTGTTTTATTCACATGGAACAGGTAAGAAAGGCACTCAGACACAAAATTCAGAGCAATTTCTGCATCAGTGCAGTCTTTCAGTATCACATAGTAACAACTCAAATAATCCTGTTAATATCTTAATGTACCTTAACTAAACAGCCCCAAAAATGAAGAGCTGACATTACACTGATAAACAATGATACAAGCATGCTGATGTTTACCAAAGACTGCCTTTATATCGTGTACTCAGTTTACAGTATTCTGTCATACAATTTGTACAAACTACAGCAAATGAAAAAAAAAAAAAAAAAAGATAATTTTGTGAAATCCCAACTTAACTCAGAGAAAGAAAAAAAATAAGAGAGATATTTTTATTGCTTTTCTCAGAAATTTAATGATTACAGAGGAGTATCTTCTCCAATTTCTGGAAGCATCAAGAAACAAAATATGTAAAATGCTGAACATGTGAGATACAAAATTAGCAGCCCATCTTATATGATGTCATATTTTTTCAATGTGTGTTCAATTAGCACAAATCCCAGATCACTCTGAAATACATACAAGGCAGTTCATTAGCTGATGAGGTCCTGACTTGGCTCCATGGATTTTATTAACACTATTGTCTAGAACAGAAGTTTATATATACAGCTTACACTAGAGCACTTCCATACAGATTCCTAGAGATGTCTTAATCTTCATTGGAGTCTCTCCCTACACCGCTAAAAACTGCTGAAGAATTCATGTTGTTTGATGGGAAGTGGCTACTGCAAGATATCATAATTTCATATCCCAAGATGTGTACTACTAGCAATGAGAAAAGGACTGACAGTAAAATGGTAATATGAAAAAATAATTTATTACTGATTTTGTGACATAGCAATACAATTCCAAGATAACAGAAAATATCTCAGTCTCATGACCCACAGAAAAATAAATTTCTATAAATTATAAGTTCTTATACAGGATTGTCTACTGTAGCTCTACACAGGAATGACAGAAACTACCTGGAGACAATAAATTGCACAACTATATTTTTGATGTAATCGGTAAAGAATAAAATACAAGATATGTTGAGGAGTTTTACTTCTGAACCATGCAAAAACACTCATCAAAATATAATATTTACTGTTAGGTTTTACACGCTTGGGTAATATGTTACTATCCCAGAGGAGAGCTGCAAAATAAAGCTTAATTTTACCAAAACATAAAGACAATAACTAAAAGCTCTTCATGCATGTTTTTGAACATGTAGTCCAATGCTTTCAACGCAATGAAGGAAAGTATGGAAAATTAATTGCACAGTCAATAGGTTCTGATTTTTCATGTTAGCTTGAGAAAAGTATTGTATTTCTACAGACCAACCTATTGATATTATTCAGGGTAATATTCAGACTGTGGTAGCTGCCAGTGTTAAAACATCTACCTGACAGGATGATTCAGACTTGTTCCTTTAGATATCCCAGCCATCACACAGTCAGTGGGTTAAATGCCTCAAAGAGGAAATAAAGAATATCTAAGTGGGATGCCTTTCACTTTCCACTGGCAGGACAGCAAGTGTCTTTGGGTACACTACACCACGGTGTTTGTTTGAACAGTTAGTTCATGTACCTATGCAGAACAGGCATCTTCATCTCTTCATCTTCAGAGCACTGAATTCACTTTTGACCACCACAAGCTAGTGAGGGATGACCCTTTTTATGCACAATTAGGGAATATGAACAGGAGACTCTAAGACTTTCCTCTATTTATATCTCCTACAGAGATGGCTCCACCTCGGATAGCTGCATAGTCTGTCAAAAAAAAAAAAAAAAGGTAATTTTTCCTCTTCAATCTGGATCATAGCACAGAGAAAGATTGAAGCATTAGACTTGTAAGTTTTGAAAGTTCATCATTACATTATTTCATTTACATTATTATTTTAGCAGCCATTGAGTAAGATAAAAAATGACAAAGTATTCTAAGCAATCACCACTTAGAGCTGAAATTTACAGAAGCACACAATTAATTCATGCTCAGCAGAAGAACACATTAAAATAGTGCACTAAAAACATGCAATTTGGTTAGTTTTCAAGGCCACAAATTATTTACGTAATGAGCACATTTAAATTTTCTTAATGGGTTGTGAAAGTATGTTGCATTCCTAAAGAAAATTGGAACTTACTTTAATATTGGTAGCTAGCACTCTGGAAACATTTGATGAATTTGACTTGTTTTTTGGTCTTTCATTGTAAATGTATGGAATGATTTCTAGTTTCTGTGGTACAAACAAGTTTTATTTAAGCATCTTTTTAAGCAAACTGAGCAAATCTTCTTTCTTTCCCTCCTCCCCCTCCTCCCGCCCTTTTTTTTTTTTTGGTTCTGATCCATTGACATCAGCTACCTTATGTGGTCCACGTGAAAGAGTTAACTAACTCAAGAAATCATAGAATCATAGAATCATAGAATCACATGAAAGATGTCAAGAAATCATCAAGAAAGATGTCAGTTGAATAAATTCAGTATTTATTAGGTAGAAAGATGTCCTTTCTATTCTACATTCTTTCTATTCTGTATTCTTTCTATTACACAGAATTTCTATTCTGTGGCTTCTTCAGCAAATCAATATATCCTGATGTTATCTCCCTCTGTTGTTCTACAGAATCACAAAAAACAGTAAGAAGAGTTATCAAATGGTATCATTTTCCTTGTGTGTTCATGCAAAATTTCACTTCTTCACAAGTAAGAACTTGGGAATTTTAAGAGTGCTTTACAATGAAAGATGTTTGTTTTAATAAATGTCTACTAAAAGTATCATATTTCCTCTGTACTCAGCACTGATGAGGCTACACTTTGAGTGCTGTTTTCAGTTTTGGACCTCCCACTACAAGAAAGACATTGAGGCTCTGGAGCATGCCCAGAGAAGGACAACAAAGCTGTGAAAGATCTGGAGCATAAGTTTTATCAGAAGCAGCTGAAGGATCTGTAATTGTTCAGTCTGGAGAAGAGGAAGCTCAGGAGAGACCTTATCACTCACTACAACTACCTGAAAGGAGGTTGTGATGAGGTCCCACTAGTGATAGGACTAGATAGGATGGCCTCAAGTTGTGTCAGATTGGATATTAGTAAAAATGTCGTCTCTGAAAGAGTGGTCAGGCACTGGAAAGAGCTGTCCAGGGAGCTGGTGAAGTTACTGCCCCTGGAGATGTTCAAGAACCATTTAAACGTTGTACTGAGAGACGTGGTTATTGGGTAAATATTGGTGATAAGTGGATGGTTGGACTGGGTGATCTTTGAAGTGTTTTCCAACCTTGGTGTCTGTATGACTCTTTTCTTTCTCTCTCTTCTCTGTGCTTGTATCAGGATAAGCATAATGGTAGAAAAGGTATTTCTAGATGACAAGAAATTACAAAAAAAAAAAAGAAATCATATGCTCCACAGAAGACTATGATAGACATAACAGGAACATTATGTAATGATTGCACTGGCAGTATAGACAACAGCAAGTAGAATAAGTAGCTTCCTAGTCTAGCAACTGTAATTTAACAGAGGGTCATGGTGCCCCTAGGATTGTGGTCAGCTTTTTTCAGCTGCAGGAGCCTTCTTCACTTCCCTGTGATAGTGATTTATATAACTGAATATGTCAAACTGTGTTTCCAACAACATTTTGAACACTACAAGAGACCTGACAAGCACAAGCAGTAAACTGCAGCTGTATTTTCAGCAGTATTACACACAGTAGTGATCTGGGAGTTGAGTTCATCAGTGACCTACCTAAGTTGTTACCTCCCCTCTAGAAAAGTGGTTTATTATCTCTCCCAGGTTTCCAGATTGCTTTTCTATTATCTATTTATCTTCTATACTTCTAGTGACTACCTGTTTCAGCTGATAACTGCCAGCTGCCTCAAATTCTTTGTGATGCCTGATAAAGATCTCTCACGGCTGAGTCTATTGCTGTTGTTACAATGTGCTGTGTTCTCTATCCCCAGGAGCTGTAAAAGAAAAGAATTTTATTGGGCCTTGAATAGATGTGTTTGATGCTTATAAAGAAAATTGATCTCAGCAGAAAGATGTACTTTGGCTATATTTTATCATTAGAATTCTGCAATATCTAATTCTAGTCGAATTTTTCACACATACACAAAATGAAGTGCATCTATCTGTTTAACAATAGCATAGCAAAACTAGGATTCACATAGCAAAACTAGGATTAAAATTTTATGTTAGTGGATGGGCTTTCTGTGTTCATGAGTGAGAATGCAATGGGACACAGGCTGACAATGACTAGTGGTTGATATAAAGCTTACAGAAGGTGGCTGAAGTGAATTACCAACATGGTTTTAATGACAATGCTGAATATTTGCTGGAAATGAGCACAAGAGCCATGCCAGCTTGCCTATGCATGAAAGCAGTTTGAACAGTGTGTGCATGGAACAAAAATCAGTTAGAAAAAGCATGTAATCATCATGTAATCATACAAACACTAGTGACACCAAGAACAGTGATACTAAGACCCTTTAGGTCTGGACTGTGATTAGAAGACATAACTGGTGAGATAGCAGAGTAAACCAAAATTTTGCATTCAAATGAAGCTGCAGGACAAATGGTAATGGGGGTAAATAGGCTAATCCAGTAGAAGACTTACCCAAATGATTATTTGATAGATTCACATAGATAATATCAAGTATTCAATATCAGCAGCATTAATTTTTTTCTTTCTCCAGAGAAAAATATTTCTTAAAAACAAATTCCATTAAAATCACTAAAAGGATCTCAAGTTGTTGTAAATTCAGAGAGGAGAGTACATAAGATGCAGTATCCCAAAGTCTATCTCACTGTCAAACGGATGTGGAATGAATAACCAAATATGTAACTTCTTTTCACATATACAATACGTAGGTAATTTTACTTAATTTTTTCAAATTGATCACTGAAACATACACAGACAACATCACCCTCCACACATAAACAAACACACATGTATACAGTGCTTGGAACCTTTGCTAGCTTCTTGAAATTCACACTTGAATTATTAATCACTATCACTACTACATTTTTAATTCTTACCCTTAGAGTGTGGTTGTGAACATTCTTACTTTGAATAATGGGCTGCCTACACTGAAGGTTCTCAGAGACTGGAAGGGTGTAGGACAGTGACAGAGCTTTTTTTATCTACATCAGGGACCTTACTCACTTCAGAGCCCTCCTGTAACACTCAGAGGGGAGCACTTGCTTTAAAAACTTGGTGCCGGTGAAAACAGGAGCTGCATAAAAAATAAAATCATACTTCAACCTTTAGTCTAAGGGCAAACTGCAGCTTTTTGTCACATTAAGCAGGACACTGAGCTGTATCCAAACTTGTGCAGGCTGTGGGCCAGAATCACACACTGCTTTAATTGCAGTTAGCTTGTGTTCAGTCTCTGCCTCAGACTGCAGAAATGTGATCAAGCGTACAGCAACAATAGGTCAATTAAGATGCACGGACCTTTCCTAGAGAGGCTGCTCCAAAGAGGCATGCAAACTGCTTGGGGCACATACATATATATGGAATATGGGTAGTATTCTGTAACAGTAAATATTCTAATGTTTTCTACTATTTCTATATAGACATGCCAATGTGTAAATACTTATTATATATACACAGAATACATCCATTTTCACTGTGTTATATATCATACTACACAATGTGTACTAGTGCACTAGTACAGCAAATATAATCTGTGATTTAAACATATCACTGTGTAAAATTTATTGTCCAAAACACATATTGCATACATTTATGCATAAAGAAAACCTATACTTACATTTATACAGCTATGTATTCATAAAAATTAAGGCAAACTAGAGGAAATAGAACTATAAAGTGAAAAAACATCACCATTTATTTTCATGCATTTCCTGTTTCAGCTCCATTTGAAAACCACTTTTTTGACATTCTGCAAAGCTGTATGTGAAGTGGATACTTCATTGAAAAAGATAATGTATCCATGTTTTTCTGCATTTTACACATACTATATAAGGTCCTCTATGGCCTACAATTTTCTTCAGGGCACACAAGGTGTTTCAATACAGAAGACAGCTTACCACTAACACAATGCCAAGTTTAAAATCTGTATTTCAGCAATAGCAGCCCAGAAGATCCTAATTTAAACACCTGAGGTCTTGTAGTTGTGGGCCTGCCTGGAAGGGACCATGAGTTTGAGCATGGCATTTGTACCAAAGTCCTTGTATACCCAGGACTTATATCCTTGCTTGTATACCCAGGAGTTACTGCTTCGTGTAGCGGGCCTCTCTCAAGTGTTTTTTTTTTTGTTTTTTTTTTTGTCTCTCAAAGCCTCTAGTATGACCTGATGCCAGAATAGACCCTGTGATCGTGGGTATTCTGGGCACAGTTTCCATCATACACTTGCTCAAGAGATGACTGACACTGCTACCTGCGTTAATACAGCTGTGAGTTTCATGAACTGCACTGGCAGTCACTGTGTATGTTTATTCCCAAAAATGACCCCGGACATAGGCAAGTAACTCAATTATTCTGAGCTTATATGACGCCACAAAAATGGCTCCAAATTGTTTGTTTCAGAAATGAAAGCATTTTCTGTGTTACTCAGTGAACTACTTACTGCTCCTTAAACAACTGTTGTGCCAGGATCTGCCCAGGAAAGGCAAGCTGGCTGCTTTACAAGCACGTGATAAATTACTCCCTCCTTCTGAAGCTAAAGAACTTCCAGTGGAAACTGATGATAGACATATTTTAACAATAATACCTTAGAGAAAGAAGGAATTATAAGATAGGCTGTTACGCTGCTGAGTCTGTCTTCTTATTTAATATACATTTTAAACAGAAAAAAAATCTCACATAAAATCAAGCAGAGCAAATAAGTAGTTGTAACAAAGAAATCTGATTTCTATGCACCTGTGCTTCAAGATGTCCTCTGTGCCTGAATTCTTTGATGCATAGTAGATATTACTGCTGCAGCCTTTTCTGGGGTGTCCTGCTCCTTTCCAGAGTATTTCTGAAAGGCCATTGTTCATTTTGGCTGATGCCAGCTAAGGGATAAAAACACTATTAGCAGGAGGTAGACAAGCCTATCAAGTCCCTTTATTGCTCAACAGCAGCTCAACAAGCTGAATATTCTCAGCTAAAACCCAACTTCTCATATCTACAAAGATCTATCCCCAGTTCTTAAAATGCCTGTGAAGGTACTGTTTGTAAAGCTCGTACCAAACAATCTGCATGCATTAAAGTTATAAAAATAATAAAAATCACATGGTATTCACAATTACTTTTTGTACATATTTTGCAACATGATGTCAGCAACTGTAACTACTTTTTTTTCAGATTACTTAAAATGTTGCATATGACATGTAATGTTACCCATGAGAATAGGCATTTATGGTAAAGGGTTTAATTATGTGATTATGTTCCATGTTCCATCATTCTCCCCTTAGGATTTTAGCCTCAAGGACAGAATTTTGGGATAATTTAATGGCTGTTCTATAAATATGTTCATGGCATGTATACAAAACAGTTTCTGAATTTTTCTGGGAAGTGTGGAGGTAGGGAAAAGGGAGAGAGATCCACGACTTTAATCAAGAACTCATTCCTCACGGCCAGATTTGCTGTTTGAGAAGGTGATGTTCTCCTGTTCTGCACACAAAGATCGCTGTCATTTTTTTCTTGACATAAGCTTGGCGTGCCTTGCCGTAACCTTTGTGTGGAACGGCCATGGAGTGCAAACAGCCACATGATGCGAAACACTCGGCGCCCCGTGTCCCGGTGAGGAGGACAGAGGGGCGGGACGGAAGGGCGGACGGACACGACCGGTCCTGGCAGAGCCGAGGTGAGGAGCGTGACACCCCACGAGCGCGGGGCCGGGCAGGGGCCGGGAGCTGCCTTTCTCGCTGGCTCGTCGTCTCCGGGCCGGGCGCCGCGCCCCCGCCGGCCCCGAGGAGCCGGGTTGGGCAACCCGGGAGGCGTCTCCTCCGCAGCCCCCGCCCCGCCGCGCCGGTGCTGAAGCGCCTCGGCCGTTCCCCCGCAGCACCCCCGGGACAGCGGCGCCCCGTCGGCCCCGCAGCAGCACCCGGGCCTCCCTCCCCGCCGCCCAGCCCGGGCTGTCCTGCCACGGCTCTGCTGCCGAGGCTGCCTCATGGGGAATAAATAAATTCATAGCCCCGCTCATCCCCGCGGCAGCGAGAGAAGCCGGCGGCGGCCGCGGGATTAGATCCAGCCCGAGCTAGAGACCAGGTAACGTAACCTACCCGCCAGGAGGGAGGAGGAGGAGCAGCGAGGCCGCTGAGGTCGCCCCCATAGGGGAGGGCTCCGGGGGACGGAGACGGGGCTGCCGCAGCCGGGGCGCGCCGGCGTCCCCCCCACCCTCCAGCCCCGTTCGCTGCGGGCGGGAGCGCTGCTGCTCCCGCGCTGTGCGCGCCGCAGTGTCAGTCACACACACGCACACGAGCCGCCACCCACGCAGGGATGGACGGACGGATGGATGGATGGATGGACGGACGGACGCCGCCCCTCGCGGGCGCTGCCCACTGGTCCCGAAGCAGCCGCTGTAGAGAGGCGCCGCACGCCTCGCCGTGCCCATGCGGCCGCCGGGCGCTGACAGCGGGCGGGGAGGCGGGTGGCGGGGCCGAGCCGAGGCCGCATCCCGGGGCGTTGCCGCACCTCCCGTTGCCGCCAGGGCCGCCCCCGCCTCGGGGCAGCTCCGCCGGGAGACGTGGGCGGGAGGCGCGGCAGCGAGGCTGGAGCAGCGTGCTTGACTGGGCGTCACTTGGCGGCTGCGGCCCCGAGGGGAGCGGTGACGTCACAGCTGTGCTGGGGGTGATCTCGGGGAGGGGTCCGCTGGGACCCTGCGCTGTGGCTTTGCCTGGCGTGGGCCGGGCCGCTCCGAACTCGGCGGCGCTGGTTCATCATCTCCGAACATCGCTGGCTTTGCTTAGAGGCTCTGCGCCCAGCTCTCCCCGTGACTGGTACCAGAGCCGGGAGAACGCTCCTCCAGCGTTATTTTTATACGACCTCTGCTCGCACAATGGGGACACAGCGTCCTTGAAATCTCTCTTGAGTGGGGCATTGATAACCTTGTCCTGAGAGAAAAGGGTTTCTCTGTGCCCACGCAGATCTCTGTGCTCTGGCACTGTGGTTGTTGAAGTGACCCCTACAAGACACTGGAGGTGGGACACGGCCCTAACACAGACCTTTTCATATTCTGGAGACCAGAGTGTGCTCTGGTGCTCCTGAGAGGGCCGGTGATCTCTTCATCCCGCAGGCACACCACACTTATGCAGGCGCACCGCTGCTTTTCAAATCAGAGGTGAATAAGAAAACTAAACAGAAAAATAATGTTTCCCATTCCCGATTCTGTGGTCTCTATAATAACCACTCGTGTCACCATAGTGACATCCACCTGTGTCTCCAGTTACATATCAAATAGCAATGAAAGACATGCTTGCAGCTTCCCTTGCAGGAATGGAGCCATAAACTTAACTGCACACCAACTGAGACAGTGAAATATTGCCTTGGCTCTCCCTAGATGAACCATGATATGAAAGGTGGTCTTCAATGCTGAGGGGGTAGACTGATATTTAAAGGAAACAGGAAACTGAGAAGTAGTTCAATGAAAGTGGTAAGGCTTTAATTTGTATATATTAAATTTGTGAATAACATGCTTGAATGATTCCCTTCTTACTTTTAAAGACAGCTCTCTCCCCTTTTCTTCCATGATTACTGACTTTGGGTATCATACTTCAGAATGAGTGCTGAATATCTTCCACATAAAAGGAAGACAAGAAATTATATTTCAAAAGTTTCTATAATGTGTGCGATTAATTATGGAACCATAACATCACGTATCTGAATAGCTCAGCTAACTTAGTTTGGAACACAGTGTTTCTAATGTAAGTGACCTAAGAGCAAAACAACTCTGAAGAAGGCAAATACTGGTAGATTTGTGTGTGTATGTGTGAGTGGTTTCAGATAATTTCACCAGCTTCATTTTTTTTAATATGGTGGAGCCATGGGATAGCCTAAGTCTCAAATGGTCTCTACATGGGAAGTCTTCATGGATTGTAGAAAATGAAATTGCCACATTTTGTGCATAGGAAGACTCTTTGAAAGATCTAGTGATATAGCTTGTCTGAAGAGGTACTTCTCATGTAAATTGATGAAGGAATAGTAGATACAAACTTCTGGGGAGACTCTGAAATATTTTAAAGGGAAATATCAGAGCAACGATTATATGGTTTAACATTGTGACTCTGCAGCTACAGTAAGGATAGGCTGAATTTTTTTTCAGCAATTTTCAGTGTAAATGAATACGCCACTAATAGTGCAAAAAATACCCATCCAGTCTTTAACAATTCCATCTAATAATAAATTCCATCTAATTCCACCTGTCACTTCTCAGTGGTGTGTATTGGATTTGGACTCACTCAGATCTTGTTATTGCAAAATCCTCATTCTAGAATCAGGGTTCTACAGAAGCAGGAGATCCTATGGGCAGATTTGAAGATGCTATTACTTACGGGCATAGAAGTTAAGGCAGAGTGAAGAGCAGTCTTTGAATTACAAGCTGATTTGTTTAAAAAATGTTATTCTTTCATTACTTTTCTTCCTTGGATTTTGTTCAGTATTTTCTACATTTTTACTATTTCTTTGTGTATGTATACTTATGTTTCTGGTACCCATTGGTTTTCTGTTCTGTCATTTTAGGAAAAAAAATCCAGTTCAGTATCCTTTCTTTCTTAAGTAATTTTTCTTGTCCTCTTTTTATGACAAGCAGGTGGCTTTGCTTGCAGTATCTCCTGGTTATTCTTTAAGGAAGGAGACTACAGCTCACCTGATTTTTCTCCTATTGCAACATCACAGGATATTTGTCTTGAGTATATTTCTGCTTTAGCAAAGATGGTGTCTGAATGAAATTCTGAGTTGATTCTATGCCTAACTCTCTTTACTAGAGTTAATGCTGTCCATTTTCTAATGTGTGAATCAAGACAAGAAAAATGGTCTTTGTCTATACTAATTATCTGTGCTGTTAAATGATTTTTTTTTGTTGTTTCAAGGTTGGTGTGATTATGAAAATGTAATTCTCTTTTGATTTTTATTTAATAAAATGTTAGGTCATATCCATTAATAATTGATAGTGAATGTTAGTTCCTATATCTGTTCAGATAATAATATATATAATGTGCTAATGCTTGCACAGCACCAAGGAGAATATTGCATAGGAAAATAGGATTTCATTTGTCAAGTGTTTTGTGCATCAAGCAAATGTGAGAAACAGGCTGTGTTTCACATATGCATCCCAGTCCAAACCTGCATTCTTTGGCATGTATGTTTTTATGAGCCATTGTGCCAACTTTCGTAGTTTTATTGTGAACCTTGGAACATTCAAGCAATAGTAGCTGAGATGTTGGAGTTAAGGGTATGACATCCTGTGACTTGAGAAATATAGGCTAACTGCTTAGCTTTACATTCTATCATGTATTTCCACTATTTCTTCAGCTGTTGTTCTTAAACGATCAAAACAAGCTTTTACTGAAGAAGAAGTTTGTAGCTCACTGGTCACAGTGTCTGGCAAACTAGAAGGAGTCTGTTTTTTTTTTCCCTTGCAATCTCTTGAGTTTTAATTTATAATATTTATGTCTGGAGGAGGGGTAGTCACAAAATTGCAGGGGTTGAAAGGGACCTCAAGAGATCATAGAGTCCAATCCCCCTGCTAAAGCAGGTAATTTCCAATAGGGCACACAGGTAGGTGTTCAGATGGGTCTTGAACATCTCTGTAGAAAGAGACTCCACAACCTCTCTGGGCAACCTGTTCCATGCTCCATCATCCTTACCATAAAGAGGTTCTTCCACATGTTGGGATGGAACTTCCTATCCTTGTATTATCTTTACACACCACTGAGAAGAGCTTGGCCATTTGCCTCCCACCCCCCTTTAGAACAATTCCTTATGATCAGCTCCTTTTATTGACTATATTTTTGAATTTTGTTTATAAAGTGATGTTAGCTGGTCCCTTTATTTGTTATCATCAAGTTCAAGCCACCACTTACCTCCCATAATTTTTTTTATTTTCAGGGCATGGTGTTTTCCTGTCTTGTTTTGCATGAGAAGCAATTGCTGAAAAAGTGAATAAGTATTATCAAAAGGATATTGACGTAACTAGAGCAATTGAAAAAGGTCCTGGTCAAGGTGATGATCTATGTGGGAACATTCAGAAAGCATATGCTACACAGAAAACTGTTCAGACCATGTCCTATATGAATGGCTTTTGTTATCTTTATATTTTTAAGAAGTTCTTTAGACTAGCTTATCTTCACTCAGCTGTTAGAAGCCTCCTGCTAGTCCTTGAAGCACGTTGCTCCCATCAGATGGCCTCTGTGGTAGCAAACTGTTGGCAGCACTCCCAATTTTGGCACACAGGGTTAATGAATATAAAACAAAGACTTGTAATTGTGTTCAAAGTGCATTCGACATCAAAGAAATTTTACCATTTGCAGTCACTACAGTGATGGTAGTGATAATATTATGATGACTGTTGCCTTTTGCATGAGGTGCATGCAAGAGATTAGTAAAGTCAGTCCCAAAGCAGTGCTACATACTTTCTAAGTATGGAAGTAATTTTATTTTCAAAGAAATAGAAACTTTAAAGCACATTTTAGCATTCATTCTCAACAACATGCTTGCAAATATAAGAAGTTATCCATTCTTTAGGCACACTTGCAGTCTATGGTACAAGCAAAAATGAGACAATAAAAGATAAAATTTCAAATTGTTCCACTATCAACTTCAGAAGTGTACAGTACTAGAAGAAACAAGCAAAAAAAAATTTACCACTGCTGTAAAAAATCAGTTCCTACTGTAATCTATTTGATTAGTATTGCAGGTGGAAAAAAATACCTATGCTTTTAAAGTTAATTGCATTAGATCTTTTCCTTTACATCAGGAATGAAGTCTTTTGTGGCTTTTTTTTTTTTTTAATTAACTGCAATAATTACATACATACTTGGCAGTGAGGGTTACAGTTTTTGAAATAACATAGGACTACTCAAACAAAAAGCTATAACGGCATGACTTCTTAGACATTGCTGCTTTTCTCTGCATTGACTTACAGAAATTGAAAGCCTTAAAATAAGGGGTATCTAAATGTTTTCTGATACTATTGAATTAAATTGGAGTTGCAGATACCTAATTGGGTTCCTATAGTTTGCATTCTTACTATGGCCCGTGGGACAAGTTTCAAACAGAAAGAAAAAAAGAAACCTTAATGATGCAAGTAAGCTGCTCTTGGGCATGTAGGTGTCTGATCTTTTAAAATTGGGATTGTATGTGTTAAATT